TTTGAATCTATGTATGGATGGGACAAAAATTTTAAAAAACCAAATGCAATAGGTGCAATAGGTGCAAAATCTGTCTCCCAAGTGGAGAAAATTAAGAAAGAAGTAAGTTGGCATGACTGTCAGTCATTTCAATGCAAATGGAGCGACATTCAAAAACAGTAAGTATTAAAAGGAAGTTTCAAAATTAATTTAATAAAACTTTCTTTGACAAATTTCATTTGTGGAAAAAAATACAGGGGGACACTTCAGAATTAACACAGCATGAGTGGTAGAGAAGTCAGGAGGTTATGACAGTATTTGGTCCTCAAAGCAGGCTACTTGCATTGTAATATAGGCATGAACTAAGGAATCATAGACAAGAGGTATAAAAGCAGTACGCTATCATTTATTAACAACTTTTCATATTAAGAAGTAGAAGAATCATGCTGAAAGAACCACTTCTTGGTTATCACCAGTCTCCGTTGACAGCAATTAAAGATCTGAATCCCAAAGATTGGGATTTTTGACATAAGGCAAAAAGACAAAAATTTGTATTGAGAGAACTCATAAATCTTTGATCACTGTGTGAATTTCACCAATGTTAGGCTAGCGGTTTAAGCTATTGGGAAAAAAATCCAATCAAACAGACAGAAAAATACAAAACCCAGTAATTAAAAGGTTCCCAAATGCAGGTGCCACACTGTAACTTAAGCCTTGCATTGTTAGATATTCTAAGCATTTCAAATGGCAGCAACTATGTATACATAGCAACCTTGATTCCCATTCACACTGCCTTTTACTTTTGGATTTTTTTTCTAAGGAAGTCTGTTGTAAATGTGCAATTTATGATTATAATTCCAGCAATAACTGTTATTCAATGTATTTCCTCTGAAAAACAACCTGTCATCATGTCAGGTTGCTAGTCAAATGCTAGTCATTTCACCCCATGAAAATCTTAGGCTAAAGGAATCCACCTTTTCCCCTGAAGTATTTAACCCACCTATTTAATACACTAAGATAATTCTGCTCTTCATATCTGTATTATGTATCTTAACAGTAGATCAGGAAGGCACCTGTAATTAAAAATTAATTTCCAATTATCGTTCACAGTTTACACTGATCTGGTGTTTCACACCATTCTAGCAGTCAAACTGCCTTAAGCACAATCTATGCATTTCATAAAATAAAACCAGAAAGCAATTGCTTTTTTAATAAGCTACAGGAAATAAAAGAGTAACATACGAGGGGCACACACCCACATACCTTAAATGCTATTTTTTTTTTAAGTATTCTCTGCCTTTTTTTTTTTATCTATTTGATTAATTCGGTACACACTTTAGAAGTCCAACAGAACTGCTGAAGTGTGTGACTCTCTCTATAATTCCCCATATTCCTTCTTGATGGTTTCAGCTCCCATTTGATGAGCTCACCTCTTAGATGAATTTCATTTCTCCTCATCACTTATGAATATGCTTTGGTACTTGTAGTCAATATCTAGTATTTTGGTTGTAGTCCTTCTCTATCCCCCCTACACTCTCACTGTGATATAATCAGTTCATTTATTCACCTATTATCCTTCATTATTTCATGACTTTCAGATCATTGGTACTTATGATATTATTCCATCCCCTGTTCCCTTCTCACCTGTCATTAGTTATCAATTATATCCATCCTTCTAAAGCATCTACAGCTTTGTTCCTCCTTTCCACTGTAATGTCCACCTTGCACTCCTTCAGCTCTGTATGCTAACAGCCAAATATTTAGCTCTTAGCATGGTGGCAGGGCACCAGTGGCCTGCTCACTTGTTCCATGAAAAATTTGCTCTTTTATCTGAATGGCTAACCAAATGTATTTCTCAAGCTTAACTAACTTCTGGCTCTACACCTTTTTGCTGCCTTTATTTTCTAATTCCCAACTTCTTTTTTTTCCCAAGTCTCCCTATGCATTAGTTACAAGGAAACAATGAAAACACAACATGGAATTCATTATCCCATTAGAATTTTCTCTCTGATGCCTTCTATTTTTTGCATTTCTGTGCTTTAATTCACTGTGCTTTACTTTCACTGTCCTCTCTTCTTGTATAATCTCTATAATTTGTACCACTGACACTTGCTTTCCACAATTTTCTTTTTCAGTCTCTCATTTACCTTCAGATCTTTCTCAGAAAGCACACAGGAAATGTATTTTGCCTTTCCCTGCACAGAAAAAACCCCCACAACTGCCCTCTCCAACAGTTCTGCTATGCTTTTGTTTCTAAATTCATTAAGCACACTACTTAGAACTGATCATAATCACCATTTACCCAATGCAGTCACTGAGACAACTCTGAGTGTATCAGAACAAAAGGTCTATGTAGTCTAGCAAATTCTCCCTAGAAGTGGCCAAAAGCAGACAGTTGGGAAAAGAATGAGTGAGAGATATACAACTACTATATCTATGCTGATGACTGACATTTTTTTTTTCTGTTTCTGTTTTTTTCTGTTTCTCTCTCTGGTGTCAAAACTAAAGTGTTAGTCTGTTTCTACCACTTTTTGTACAGATCTTACCATACATCAAAGTTCATTAAAATTTTTTCATGTCCCAGCTTTCCTCAAGCAGTATAGATTTATCCTCCTAACCATGAACCTGTTCTATAACCCAGGAATTATCTTAAATTTAAATATCTATTTGGATCCTCCTGTTCTCAATATTTCTAAAACTTGCATGGGCTTTCTACGTAGCATATCTAAGACTGTTCATAGAAAAAAAATTGATTTCTCATCATCACTTTTATCTTATGTCTCAATTACTGTAACACATCTTTTATGTTCATGACAAAAGTCATTTTCTCAGCAAGTACAAGACTGCTTCAAATACAATTTTTTTAGTCCACTACTTTGACCACGTTACTGGTCTTCTTTCTCCACTATGATGGTTCCTCTCTTCCCCATCACATAAAACACAAAAGACCTGATTTGATTTTTCAAGTCCTTCCAGGCATTTATTGACATATTAATTACCTTCTAATGACTACTCAGGCATTGAATCTCATCTCCATTCAGTTCATGAAACTCATCCCATTTTAGATGTCAAAAATTCAATGATAGTTAGCAATGGTCAGTATACCAAGACCACTGGTTTTATATATACCCATAGATTTTTCCCTTATCTCTTGTTCAAACTCCTTTGTAAATTGTCCAAGATTGAGACAATTCTTTCTGTTCCTAGTGTGTGCCTACACACTGAAGTGTGCCCTCCTGGATCCTCATTACAGGCAGTGACATCTAAGTTCATTGTGCAGTTTAGAATGCATAACTGGAGATTTGAGCCCTCTCTCTTCTTAGTCATGCCTACAAAAATTAAATGTTTTCATCCAGCTGAGCATAGTCATTAGCAAAACTTTTACTGAAACTTTATTACACTTCCATATTGAAGTATCTGAAGAGCTTGACTTTGTACTTTTTAATATAACACACATACCCATATACGCAGAAGAGTCTTGCTCATGCTTATCTAGTTGATGCCAGTGAGGCTACTCAAATGAATGAGGATTAGTCACATTAACAAGATTTGAAAAATTGGAACTAAAATGCAAGAAAACTGTTAAGGATAGTAATTTTTTAGCTCAAATGTAATAAATACCATTCAGGACACTGAAAACCACTGAACTCATGAGGCACATTTCACCTCCATTAACTACATACTTGCTTAAATAATACTAAGTACAACCTTAATTTTTTTTCTATATTAAGAAATCAGGTCTACCAAGTAAGCATTTACTTTTTAAAATAACTGTTTTACAATTTTCCTGATGTCAGAAAGTGTGTTGAATTGCCATGCACTTGGCTCTTAAATTAGCACATCAATCTACTGTATCACTTTCAGAACAGGTCCATTTCACCTAAGTACCAGAATATAATGTTTTAATGAACAGGATATATTAAATATCTAATGTAATACTAGTTTATGGCAGACTACAGTGACAGTCTAGAAAAGGCTATTCTCTAAATATCTTTATCAAAAAGTTTCCTTTGTGGATTTATAAAGAAAAAATTGAAGTCAACTGGCTCTGAAAGTACTTGAACCTAATCTGAACAGCTGTAAGCAAATACTCCAGATATCCTATATCCAAGGAATGCTTATCATGTTCACACAACTGCCATTACCATCCAAGCATGTCTTTTCTATAAAACTCCAATCAAATGCAGGCACAGAAAAATGACCTGAGTGCTCTGGCCTTTGAGAGCTCCATCATCTCCAAGCTCTTAGGATCAAAACTAAAAAAAGATACAATTATCTTACTAAATGTGTTCCTCAGATGTTATGAAATACAATTTCCAGGAGGGAATTTTAAGCCTCTAAAGAATTCTGATATGCAAAGTGGTATTAAGCCTTCCCTAACAGATCTGCTGAAGCTTTGCCTTTCTCCCCCACCTCTCCCTGAACATGCTACCACTATAATTCTCTAACTTCCAGCTGCACGTTTTGATGCTGCTAAAACAGAGCTGTGAAAAATGTTACTGCACATTTCAGCTTCTGAAACACCTACTGGAGGACAGAACTTTAAGAGTGTTCTACTACTCTGGATTGTGCCAAGACTGGAAAGTCACCTTCTTTTACATTTTTACAGGCAACAGAATTTTTCTTTGCCTCTCCCCTCTGCACTCCAAGCTTGAAAAGTGAGCAAAATCAACCTTTGACTGAGTCTTTAACAGACTATAGATACATGTTTAAAGTTTAGAAAGTGAATCAGGGAGATCCAAGTTGTTCTGTCATGTCTCAGGGTGATTTAACTACTTACAAAATTTATCAACCTCTGAAGACCACTTCTACAGCAAGCCAAAAACTAGAAGAACATAACAGAATCAAATGACTACACATTTTAATATGTAACTGGTCTTAAAAACTAACTTCAAGTGGGTGCAAGTGCTAGCTGGTGAAGCACACAGGATCTTCTGCTGTACTTTCCAAAAACCTTGGAAGTAAAATCAAGAATAATTTTGTTTTTAAAAAGACATATTTTTTAAAAACAAACAAATTACCTGGCAAGGCCTTTTCATTTTAATGGCTATAACATGGTATCTGTAACAGCAGAGTTCACAGGTCCATGACCCTCTTTCACTTATCCACTTTAACAGGCAAAGCTGATGTGTGTATCGTACTGACCCATCGCAGCGGCAAGGGTTTAACAATTCACCCTGAAAAGGCAACACAGAAATATTAACTTTAAAAGAAATCTTCCGTGTACATGTACACACAATACTAAAATATTTAGAGGTCTGTTACAATGACCTAGTCTCAATTTCAGTATCTGAAAAAGCATGTATTTTTGGCTATAAAAAACTCAGAAATGTAACTGTTTTAAAAATATCTAGCTGCTTCTTATGAGTCAAAAGCCAGAAGGCTGCCTACACATGTGTGTGCACCTATGTGAAACAACTGAAATAATACCACGCATCAAACAACAGTAGCATTAGCCCTTTCGAATAGCTCAAAAGGTACCAAAAGTGGTTGGATACATTTCTCTAGCAGCTACTTGCAGTCATCACTCAAAAAGAATTGGGTGACATCACGGTTCCAAGAGAACCTTGCTCTTGGAGCAGGGCTCTGTGCTGCTCAGCCAGCCAGCTGTCAGGCAGGACCTCAAATAATGTAAATAAGCACTTCCCCCAGTAGTTCACATATTTCTGTACTATATAAATCAGTTATTCTCTTCTTTCCAAGACAAGCTACAAAATGCTAGTTATAATATTGTGCCCAGTAACGTCACAGCAGAGAAGAGGTCTTCTCAGCATTACTTGTAAGCTAACACTCTCATTTCAAAATCTGACAGAAACTGGAGAATTTCGTATTGTTTAAAGTCCCTGAGGAATGAGCCAGCGAGCGCAATGGCCAGCAGACACAGAGCGTGCAAGCCAGGCACGGCACAATCCCTGGATTTTCCCAGAGCTCTGCGCCGACTCAGGTTTGCTCCAGGCGTTCGCCAGCACCACCTCGTACAGCAGCAGCCGGGGTTCGCACTGCCGCCGACGCCGAGGAGGGCGATCCCTACCAGGGACGCCGGGATCAGCACCAGGGACAGGGCTCGGCCCCGGGCACGGGG